ATGTATGCAATATGTTAATTATTGAAACTGTCCTACCAATTTGATTTGAAACTGTCTCATTGCTATTTGTTTATCAATAAAATTATGGGAAAAAATAAATAAAAGATAACACACACACACAAAATATTTGGTAGACTGGGGGCCGGGGAGATGGCTCAGTGGATAAGCGCTTCCCTGGCAAGCGCAAGGGCATGAGTTCAGTCCCCGGTTCTGGAAAAAAAAAAAGAAAGAAAGAAAATATTTGGTAGAATTTACTAGTAAAGGCATCTGAACTTGTCTGGTTTTTTGTTTGTTTGTTTGTGCTAGGGATTGAATCCAGAGCCTTATATGTACCAGGTGTTTCAGCTCTTCCACTGAGCTATAACTCTCCCTCTAACCCCAGCTCTTCTTTATGGGTAGTTTTTTCATGCTAATTCATTTTCTTTTTTTACAACTTGATCTTGAGTCAGTTTAGGTGGTTTGTTTTCTTCTAGCAATTTATTTATCTACATTAACAAATTTGTTAATGTGTAATTGTTCATAGTTTTTCTTAATTTCATTTATTTCTATAAACTTCTTGAGGATAATTCTTTCTAAACCTTTGATGTTATTGAGTCCTCTGCTCCATGTTATTTCTCCTCACCCCCCCCACCCCTAGTCTCAATAAAGGTTTACAGAGAACAAAAAAAAAAAAAAAAGTTTTGGAGAATTTTCATGCTACGTGTATTAATTGTTTCTAGTCAATTCTGTGTCATTTTGGCATTGGCTTCTGAATGAGTTGAGATTTTGCCCTTTGTTTATGTGCTGAGTAATTCTGACTAATGTTTTATGCTCTTAAACATTGTATAATGAGATTCTTGAATTTGTTTAGATCCTATGGAATGTATATAGCTCTTTTCTTTCTTGCTTAAACTAGGTTAACAGTCTGGTTGCCTTGTAATTCCGCATCAGCTGTGTTTTTCAAGTAGTCTCGTTCTCCAGATATATCCTGAGAATATACTAAAGGCTAGTTTAAGACTTGAGTGGTGGTTTTAGGTTCCTGGTTTATTTTACAGCCTTTGATATGCTACTTAGGCTGCTTAGAATGAACCTAGGAATTTGCATACAACTTAGAAAGTGCAGTGTCTTTCCTGAGTTTCTGATAGTTTGTCATTTGCCAGATATTTTCTGATCTGGCTCCACTCAGAATCAAGGTGTTTTCTCTTTCTCATCCTGCTGCCCATGCCTCTTGTAAAGCAGCTTCTGCTTGTGTTTTCTCTCATTCTGTGGAGTTTTTGCTTTGTGATTGGCAGGAAGACATTTAGATATTTGGAAATAAGTCAGATTTACAGTTCTCAATTTTACCTGTGTATAGGCCTAACCTTTTATTTCTATATCAGTTCACTAATAACAGATGAAATTTTATAAAATGTTCTATCCTCTTTCCATTGTTGCTCTTCTATTACATGAAAAAAAAAAAAAAAAAAGACAAACACACTACAGTCTGAGAACATTTACTGTCTATGAAGATACTTCCTCTCCTTTCAGGGCCCTGTCTTTTCTTAAATATCATTACTAAAAAGTTCATTTGTTTAGCTGGAAATTTGGCAGATATTTAAATCTTCTTACTCAGTATTACCTCTTAAGCTTTTCTTGGGTCCATCTCTAGAGATTCAGATCCAACAGCTATATAGTAAAATAAATGAAGAAGACAGTTACCTGAATGCTCACCTCTTCTGTTGAAAACGCACCTGTGTAAGTGCAGCTCATTATCCAGTTGTAGAATAGATGGGCCTGATGTTTGTGCTCTGTGCAGGTTTGTGGTTTGGTGGGTTTCTCAGTAGTGCTGCCTTAGTTGGCTGCCCAGTCCCTCCTCATTGCTCCAGACATAGTCCGCTTTGACCCACCTTCCTTGAAGTTATTTATCTACAGCATTGGCAGTTTCTTATTTGTAAACCAATTCAGCAAAGCATAGAACTTAATATTATCTTATTTTATCAAGTTTAAGAGTAAAATGGTTCCCATTTTCACCTGTGCATTTGAGGTTTAACATACCAATAGTAAAATGCTTAAGGTGCACCAGTCGTAATTGTGGAGCTTGAACTGTTCCTGGGTATGTTTATGTAACCTCCATGCAGTCAAAACTTAAAATATTTCCTGCTTCCTCCTATTCCCCTGAAGTTCCCTCCCAGTCAGTAAGCGTCTTTTCTCCAGTCAGGGGCCTTTCTTCTGATTCCTACCACCATTGATTTGTTTGCCTGTTTCCTTACTGCATGGAAATGGAGGCATGCAGTGTGTTGTCTCATGTATTTAGTATTCTGAATAAAATGATTTTTTGTGATTCCCCTTGTTGAATGATCTAATATTATTGTTTCTGATTGCTTTATACTTGGAATATATCTAAACCCAAGCAGATTTAATTGATGGTCATATTAGATTTCTCTTAACGGAGGTAATCTTACAGTTCTTTAAAAAACTCCTCATACATTTCAACTTTGAAGCATTCAATTGCCTCCTTTACCTGCCTGTACACTGTGTGTTTCTGACCTCTACACTTACTCTTGCCCTACCTTTCCCTCTTCTGCATTTCTTTTCCCCTGTGCAGAAGTGGCAAGGAAACACACAGTTTTAACCTCCAACATCTTTGCCATGCTAGCCTTTGCTCTGGGAAGGGCTCAGGTGGGAGCCAATGCCTGCATTCACTTGTTTTTCTTTTCTTCGGACAGCATGATGGAAGTGGGTCATTACATGACGTTCAGCTGTCATTGCCCTCCAGTCCAGAACCAGAAGAAGCTGATGAGACATATAAGGTATACCTAAGTAGTGGTACTTGAGATTTCAGGATGCTTACTATTAAAATAATAATGATAATTAAAACATTGACTAGTAAAGCTTGGCTGGTCAAGGTAATCAGATTTGCTCTTAACTTTTCCTGTTTTTTAAATTATCATTATATCCCAGTGACTCTTTAGTTTGTGTTTAGCAGTTGGATAATTTGTCCCTGTTGTTCCTGGTGCTTACATTACTAATAATGAATAACAGCCCTTAAACTATGTTTACCAATAAAAATTAAAAAGAAAATTAATACTTTTCATGTATAAACACAGCATTAGAGAAATATACTGATTTAAATGAGATTATTTGTCATGTTTAAATATATATTTATAGAGTTCAGATGTAATTTTTAAATTTTTAAAGTTATTCTTTGTGGTGTAATGTTTTCATACCTTGTGAAGAGTTGTATTTTAATGAGTAATTGAAAGTTTTAAAAATACATATAAATCTCAGTATCTTTACATCTATTTTTAGTTGAAGAAAGCAATTATTTCTTAAGCACATGCTCTGTGAAAGCACACACAAATATTCTTGATTTATTTAATATTTTCAAATAAAGTTATTGTTGACTTCTGCCTCTTTCAATTTATTCTAGCACTTGTCATCTGGAGTAACATAACATCAGAACATTGGTGGCTTAAAATGACAAAATTTATATTCACTTCATATTAAAAATTGGCTGTTGATCAGCTGAGATTCTGTTTTATGTCTTTTTGTTTTTGAAATTCAAGCTGTAACATCAGCTTTTATTGTGGGACAGGCCATTATTGGGCAGAGGAAGAAGAGCTTTGTTAAAGCAAATGTAAATTCTGCTTGGATGTGTCAGATAGCAGTTTCAAAACAATTCAAGCAACTATCCCTTCTCAGAGGGGCATCATTTTCTCATAGAATATACAGTGACTTATTGTGAAAAAAGTTCTATAAAAAGGGCTCAGAATAAAAAGAATATAGCACAGTGTTCATATCTGGCTGTCTGCTGGTGGCCTTGTCATGTGATGGTTCTCTAATCACTTCCTGTTTTTGAGCTGATTCTCCACTGTTCACACTATTCTCCATTGATTACACTATTGGTGTAAGCAGGAGGTTTGCAACAGACCATCTCTTTGCTGAAAAAGTTTTACATGCACACCTGTTAGAGAACTTTGAGAACCAGTGATTTAATAATTTCTTAGGTTCTCTTAGTTTTATTTAGTTTTGTGACTAGCATATTCTTTAAAGTTAATCCTCCCGCCCCCAGCCCAATTTTTTTGTGAAGGTATTTTTTGAATAGGAAAAAGTTAATTCCAATTGTTTACACCACTTTTGTCTTGTTTTTCCATGTTTCTTTGTAGCTCATTTATACATTTAATGTTATATGATGGGCATATTGCTACATGTTATTTATTTCTTGCTCCTAGTTCCCTTTCCTTCTATATAGAATATTCCTGATTCTTTCTTCCTTTTTATTCATGTTGAGATGCAGTAGCTCAGTCTCTTTATGGCCTATTTTGCACTTTCATCAGCAAATTCCTGATTTTATCACCTCCTTTTCCAGGATGGTTTAGTAGTACAGTTTCAGATAATACAAATAGGGTGACCTGTGCCATTACAAAATTAGAATTAAGATTTCCCATAGCACATGAAATGCCCCACTCCACCCTCATGTTTATTTCAGGTTTTTTTTTTCCTTTCTCCTTTTTTTTTTTTTTTTTTTTTTGCAATACCAGGGATTGCAGTCAGAACCCTGTGCTTGCCAGGCAAGCGCTAATTCTACTGAGCCATCTCCCCAGCCCCTTCCTCACTCCTTTGATGAGTTGTTCGCAGCTTTGATTGTTCTCAAGGCCCATGCTCAGTCAGCCACACTTCTGAACATCTGCATAGCCTTTGCTCATCAAGCGAAGATGGTGTTCTGATTCCCATCTGTTTTACGTGCTGACTTCACCTGGACTCACCTGGACTTGTCTCATTCTTACTCATTTGGTTCCATGTAAGAGTAGAAGCAGCCTCTCTGCCCTGGAAGCCTGACCCTTCTGTGTTACATTTTGCTGCTACTTAAGGGCTTACCAGTTTCTTATCTGTTGTTAGTGTGTTGCTGTTTCTTTATCTTCTTCATCATCAATGTATACGTTTATGTGGTTCAGCTATCTGAAATTCATTAAATCAAGCTTTTCCCTGACTCTCTTTAAACCACATTCCAGTTAACGGGGAGCCTGAAAAAATGAACATCTGCAGATAGTAGACACATCCTTCATCTTTAAAGCTTCAACTTGCCTGAAGATTCCTTTTTTAAATAGAGGGTTTTCACTGCATCTGCATCTCCTACTAAAGCTTTTCATTAGGATATTTCAAATGACTCATTTTAAATTTTTAAATTTTAGAATGAAGATTTATTAAATGAAATAAAACAGCTTAAAGATGAAATAAAGAAAAAAGATGAAAAAATTCAACTATTAGAACATCAACTTGTAAGTATTATAGATTAGGATATAAAATGAAAGTTTTTCAAACCTTTTTCTTTCTTTCTTTTTGGCTTTTTATATGACTCTGAACCAGAATTAAGAGTTCATGTTTTGGCTTCCCCAGTTACATCATTATGTTTACATTATGTATACGCTAATAGAAGTACATGGCTTTAACCTTCAGTCTAAATGTTATGTATTCAGTGTAAAAAAATATTCTTTGGTCCATTTTCAGTAACCTGTTTTGGAGGTTTAAAATTTGGCACCTCACATTAGTTGGTACAATGTGAATGACACCGGAGATGAGTTGAGAACAGGACCTTTTCTCTCTCTCTAAGCAGAATGGCACTGAGTATATGAGACTGTAGGGAACTTCAAGACATTGTTCCTTTTCTGTGGTTAATGTTGAGTGATTGCTCAGCAGCATCTCTGAACTTTATACCTCTGTCATTGTTACAGTTTCAAATGTCAGTCCCTTATATATATATACCTCAGTTGTACCTTAAATTTCAGTAATACAAAAGGCATAAATGAAAATCAAAAACCATATTTTGCTACAGCAAAACAGCTCAGCCATGTGAAATGTTAACCTTACCCAGAATATAAAGGGAGTCGTAAGGGAAAATCACAAACATATACTGCATAAAGAAGTAAAACAGACAGACCAGGCACTTTGAATAAAGGCATAAAAAAAGTTTAAGAATCCAAGTAAAGAATAGCCCACTGTTGCAAAATGAGTTCTTACCACTTTAAAACTTTTTGGAAAATAGTAAAATTTAATATTCTTGCTTCAGAGCTAAAGATAAGAACTTAGCCATTTTCAAGGAGAAGAGATGGATTCAGGAGTCACATTTTCCCAGCATAAATTTAGATAATTTTTTTTTAATGAAAACAGTATTGCTCTATGAAGTGAATGTCTCATTAAATGAGTTTTAAAGGCCAGATGTTTTAGTTTTTTTGTTTATAAAAGAATTGAAAGTCATTCAAAAAGGTTGTAATTGTAGAAGGTTTAGTTGTAGAACTCTAAAAAAATTGTATGCTCAGCCAGGGTTGTAGCTCATTGGCATAAGCGCTTGTCAGGCAAGTACAAGGTCCTGAGTTCAATCCCCAGTATATAAAAGGGATATACTCAAATCAAGAGAATTTAAAGATAGAAATTTAGAGATAGGTAGCAGCATTTTTCACTATCAATGTTAAAATTGCCCTTTTCTTTATAGTGTATTTATCTTTTTCTTTATATCTTCAACCAACTTTTTTAAAAAATAGGGGAAAAGCCACCAGAAGAGCCACAGATAGGACTTAAACGACTTCTCTAGCCTATAGGATTAATACGAGGTGGCAGGATGTTGGCAATTGCCATTGTCTCTCTAGTGCTTTCCTTATCCCCAGGAAGAAGGAATATCTAGGTTAAATTCCCTTTCAGGCTCAGCCTTCTTTGCTTGTGTATGTTGTTTTTAAATGTGTATACCACTAGCCTGTATTTGTATGAAAACTTCTATAAAAATAATAAAATCTTAAATTCTTAGTCTGTGTTAAATGTCATGATAAAAAAATCAGATACTGGTGCTCTGAGAATTTAACTGAAAAATATAGAGGTTTAAATCTTACTTTAAAATGCCAAGACTTCCTGATTATTTTTACCCCATGACATTAGGTAAATAGTTAAATACATTTGCTCATTGCATTCTCAGAATAATCTTATGAAATTGCTAATGTAGAATTTTCTTTAAGGGAAACATAGAAAGTGGAACTCAAGTTAAATAAACTTACCATAATTTGTAAAACCATGTGCCTGATTCAAATCCTGGCTCTGAAACTTAATAGCTACCTGCTTTTAGGGAAATTATGAAGCCTCTCCTAAACCTTTTTTGTAAATGGAGAATAGTAAAGATAGTCCTGACCACACAGGAGTATAGTAGTATGTGAACTGCATAATGCCAGCCCCTGAATATGTAATACTCACTTTTGTTAAATGACATACCTACTGGGCATGTTTGTGCATGCCTATTATCCCAGCACTCAGGAAGCTGAGGCAGGAGATTCAATGGGAGCCCAAGGCCTGCCTGGGCTCCAAAGTGAGTTCAACGCCCTCCTGAACTGCATAATGAGACCCAGTTTCAAAAATACAAAAGTAAAACCAAAGAACTTGCCCTAAACCACCCAGTATAAATTAATACATGTCTTATGATGCTTTAGGTTTCAAATAAAAGTCCCTAACTAAGAGTGACACAAAAAATGAGAGGCATGGCATATGCCTGAGCACAGTGCCCTGAGAGGCTGAAATAAGAGGATCACAAGTTTGAACCTACCCAGGGTGAATGAGTGAGAACCTATTTGTCTGTCTGTCTCTGTCTGTCTGTCTGTCTGTCTGTCT